ACACCCCTAGGTATTGTGGCATTTTTATAGAGTCGAGGAAGTCATCTCAAAATAAGCCAAACTGGAGAACATTATACTAAATTTACCCAGAAAACAATTCATAATATTCATACCAAAAATTCTAATAAACAATGATAATTTTTAAAGTTTACCCCTAGCTAAACACAACGATGTTTTATTTTCACAGGCAGATTTTGAGGATGCACTCTCCCCAAGCTGGGAAAACCTAATGAAGGGCCAAGTGAACCTCCGAGACGCAGTAAACAGAACCATAAGCTTCCATGATCAAGCCCGCAACAGAGTCTACAAGCTCAACGACAACACGGCCAAGCTCTTCGTCCGGCCAAGGGGCTGGCATTTGCCCGAGGCCCACATTCTCATCGACGGCGAGCCTGCTACTGGATGCCTTGTGGATTTTGGGTTGTATTTCTTTCATAATTATGCTAATTTTCGTGCTACTCAGGGGGGTGGTTATGGGCCTTTCTTTTATCTTCCGAAGATGGAGCACTCAAGGTTTGGTTAATATTTTGATTTGTAGATTAAATTTTTTTTTTCGGAAATTATTAATTGATCAAAGTAGAGTAATTTTCTTAAAGTTCAGCTATATGACAACTCTGAAGCTGTGGTGAAAGTTAAACCCTTAACTTTATATTTATATTGTAATAACTTTCAAAGAGTGAACATTTTTTTCATCGGCTGAAACATGGTATCGTCAATACTTTCTTCTATGAAATTGGCACCTGATTGATAGATCTGACACATAATTCAAGATCCTTTCAGTAGACCTAATTGCAAAGTTTTACCCAAGTTTGAGGGTTATAAATTTATACTCTAACAAAGTTGCACATATATATATCCCAATATATATAGTTTTCTCGGAATTTTAGAAAATCGGTCTTAGATTTTAAAAGTGATACTTCAACTTCCTTTATTTTTCAAGTTATGGTCAGAATTGTCAAAATTCATGCGAACCTAAAAGTTCTATAGAAATTTTATGTAATTTCCCTCCTTATTCCAAACAGGGAAGCCAAAATCTGGAACTGCGTATTCGAGAGAGCAGAGAAATTCGCAGGAATCGAAAGAGGAAGCATACGAGCAACAGTCCTAATAGAAACTCTACCGGCAGTGTTTCAAATGAACGAGATATTATACGAGCTGAGAGACCATTCAGTCGGACTCAACTGTGGCCGATGGGATTACATTTTCAGTTATGTCAAGACCTTTCAAGCTCACCGCGACCGGCTTCTGCCTGATCGCGTTCAGGTTGGAATGGGCCAGCACTTCATGAAGAGTTACTCAGATTTGCTCATTCGGACTTGTCATCGGAGGGGAGTTCATGCTATGGGAGGGATGGTATGTTTTTCTGACAATATTACGTGAATTGTTCGATAAAATTCATATGAATAATTGTCCATAACATGTGAGAGTGTGGAGTACATGGCAACTTATACATTGCTGCCTAATATTTCAAATAAGGGTAATTGAGTTTCCATGAGACTATCTCTGATCTTTGGGAGGGTTTTGCACGAAACTACCATAGATTTTTATCAGAAACCATCATGAACTTCAGAAAGTGGAGACAAATACCACGAATCGTTAAAATATCATGAATTATCGAAAATTATTTTCTAACAGCTCGTTTTAAACTATCCTTACTTATATCTAGCAATTCATGAAATTCGCAAGAGCAAGAAGACAAATAAAGTACACGAAGAGCGAAATTGTGCATAGCAGGTCACGTGCAAAGTACATGACAATTTATATTAACCGTCTTCAAACGTGATATCTCATTGCAGAAAATTTGCGGTAAGATTGTCTGTTAAGAACTCCGCGATAGTTTTGTGAAAGTTATCATACTAGCTCGAGACATAATTACAAGCTAGGTTCGATTGATTGAACGATATTGTTTTGAATAATGTTACTTGTACCATCAAATGTTATGTTACTTTGATGCTGTGAAGTAGGTTTGCTTTTCATGAGTTAACAACCGATTGTTGATTGCAGGCTGCTCAGATACCGATAAGGGACGATCCGGCAGCAAACGCCGCCGCACTGGAGCTCGTCCGGAAGGACAAGCTCCGTGAAGTCCGTGCAGGCCATGATGGCACATGGGCGGCCCACCCGGGCCTAATCCCGACCATCCTGGACGTCTTCACCTCCACCATTCCCAACCTCCCCAACCAAATTCACACCGCCAAACGTGAAGATGCCGACTCCATCACCTCCGACGACCTCATCAGAAAACCCACCGGCACCCGTTCAATCTCGGCCCTCCGTCTCAACACCCGCGTTGGGATTCAGTACTTAGCCGCGTGGCTGACAGGTAGGTATTGAAACTAATAGAATCGAATCCTGACACGTTCATATGTACATTTGTTTAAAAAATGGTATACTACTTAAAAGTAGAAAATATAAGTAGATTAAAAACATAACGAGTTAAAAGGGATCCAATTTTAAACGAATATCCAATAAAAAAAAATCAAACATACATTTGGTTAAATTTTATTCATTTATGAATTAAGTATTAAAAAATGTTTGTTCAGGTACGGGCTCAGTGCCACTGTATAATCTGATGGAGGATGCGGCGACAGCGGAGATCAGCAGAGTGCAGAATTGGCAATGGATTAAGCATGGGGTTGAGCTTGATGGGGATGGAGTTGGAGTCAAGGTAACAAGGGAATTATTTGGGAGAGTGGTTGAAGAGGAGATGGAGAGGGTTGCGAGAGAAGTCGGAAAAGAGAGGTTCGAGAGAGGGCGGTTTAGAGAAGCTTGCAGGATTTTTGCGAGGCAGTGTGTGAGTGAGGAGCTTTACGATTTCTTGACTCTTGATGCTTATAACAACATTGTGGTGATGCATCCTAGAGCATCAGCAAGGCTCTGATGAGGTTCAATGTTTTCAGCAAATGTTGCTACGAAATAAACTCCGGATAGCTTGTGGAGTTTTATTTGCTGTGAAGGAAAGAATGTAATAATGTTGTGCTAAAGTTTTCATACTACTCGCTGAATTCTACTTTTATAGTGCGTGTTATTTATCTTTGATTTAGAGTTGGGTGTCTACTAGAGTTTTATTAGTCTGCCATTTTTCGTGTTTACTTTGGTCTATGAGATGTGATCTATTGGGTTTCATAATTCATAGTGTTTGTTTCCTTGGAGGAGGGAAACAAATTGATTTTCGATAAATAAAAGCCGACCGCTTCGGTGCTCCCAAAAATTCAGTTGGGAGTTCCGATGGCAGGAAATGTAATTGTGAAACCGGATATTTAGCTCTCTAATACTTAATTGTAGGATATGTTAGTTAAAAGGAGTTCCACTGGCATTTTAGTAAATAGATAGAACTTTTAAATTAACCATAAGAGTGATTTAGGAACTAATACAAAGTGATTAAGTTATAAAACAGATGTAAGATCTCTGGGATCATTGACCAGGTGATTTAGGAACTAATACAAAGTGATTAAGTTATAAAACAGATGTAAGATCTCTGGGATCATTGACCACGAAACTTTATTCAATACAGATGTAAGATCTCTGGGATCATTGACCACGAAACTTTATTCAATTTTTTCTTCTTATATAATATATACGCCTCCCTTCCACAAAATTTGAATAATTTCTTTTATCAGAATATCAATTTTTTCTTCCAAAATTTTGCGGCATTCAACACATCAACTAATTTCATCGAGGGAGGAAATATGTAAGGTAATTAAAAATTCCTTTTTTAATTTTTTTTGTAGAAAAAGATAATATCATCAATGTTATACTTTTGTAGAGTCAGTCATCTGATTGTGTTTCTCCTTAACAATTTTTATTTCTCTAAAATTTATAGTTCAGATTGATACATAGAACAACTTATAAAATGACATAACAATTGATCATCGAAATTCAGAGTGCGGGATCATAATAAACACCTTAAAGCAAATGATTAATTAAAAAAGAAAAATAGCAACAAGAGGAGGGTATAGGTTAGGTTCGAGGAGGAAGGATAAGGCGGACAGGTCTCCGGAGCGGAGGAGAGGGTGGAAGGTCAGTGAGAAGGTACGGGTGGAGGAGAGGGGTCGGGTGTTGGCCTTCTTGTTTTGATGATGTTTAACAAACAATTTACATCTAATGTTGTTTGTCTAGTATTTGTGTTTTCCTATGTATTATAGACAAACAACGAGTTGGAGGTTGGATGGATTGCGCCATAACGATCATATCAAATGGAGGTTGGCGGATATAGTGGTTGAAGTAATACAATTCAAGTTCAAGAATCCAAGTTCAAGCTTCATCCGCAAGTGTACTAAGTCAAGCTTATTGAAGATCAAGATCAAGCTTGGGTAATTTAGTTTAGGTTTTATATTATGTGTGTTTGATACTCTAAGCTCAATCATATACACACATACACGTATTTGGTTTTATATATATATATAGTCATATATATAAATACAAGTTTTGATTTTCAAGTTTAAATATGAAACAAATACATATTTATATATATACATGTTTGTTTGCATATGGTTAAGTTGTTTTGGTTTAGTTATGTATATATGAAGCAATATATATCTTCATATACACTTTTGTTTATTTCATATTCTATTGTATTTAGAAAAATATTGTGTTTATGGATTAAAGACTTGTTCACACTATTTTCATATCTCGTATAATGTCTATAAATCCATTCTAAAGTGTTTCCAAGTTGTTTGAACTCGTTTTTGGTAAAATCAAGTTTTTTGTTCATGTACGTGCATGCGTCCGTGCATGTTTTTACAAAACAGATACGTTTTCACAATTGAGAAATACGATTTGAAAATTTTCTTCATTTACATGTTTAGAAACTTTCCTCAAAATTTTACCATTTTTGGAGTTGATTTACTGTGCCCAATTGATTTTACAAAATCATTTATGTCAGCAGATTTTCAGAAACTGTATATCTGTGTTAAAACATTTATTTCTCTCAAATGAGAAATTATTTTTCATAAATTCGTTCTCTAACATTTTCTTCTATATGTCTAAAACATTTTCTAAAAATTTCATAATTTATGGAATTTATGTACTATTTTTAATTGATTTTACAAAGCTAGATACGTAAATTTCCAGAATGCTGAATTTAGGGGTATTTTGGTCTTTTCAGCCTATAACGGCTAGTTTTTGATATTTTTGGTTTTTGGGAGTTTGTGGCTGGTTTAAGAGGCTATAAAAAGCTCTCAACTTTCATTGTTTCTTATGGATGTTTAAGAGAGTTTTAAACAGAGTTTTACAAGTTTGTTGAAGGGTTTTTAAGTTTGTTTCAAGAGTTTGTTTGTGAAGAAAATTCCACAAGAGCTTGAGGAGGTCATCTATTGGAGTTTGAGCAATCAACTATTCTCCCTCCACCTCTTGATCTATTGAAAAGTTTTCTAAACTCTTATCTAGCTTTACATTTGCTTAGTTATTTGATTATCATTCTTTAAAGCTAGTTTTTATATTGAGTTTAGATTTGATTATATTATCTCATTGTTACACCCACCCACATTGAGCTTATTGTATTTTCATACATATTATATTTGGGTTGGTGAGAGTTGTAATAATTGAGTGTGAGCTTTCATTGTGTTCTCATCCATAGTAGAGAACAAACATTTATTGTATTTAAGCCTAATTGTGAGGATACACTTTGTAATACACTTGTACACCGAGAGAAGTGTGTGGCGAGAGTCGGGAATCTTTCCAAGAGGAGTGGCGTCGGTTGACGAACCTAGGGAGAGGTTGTAACCGAGCACTTGAGGGAGACACGTCTAGTTCAACACTTGAGAGGGTGTAAAGTGGGATTGCAAGAGTGGTGATTATAAAGTTTTCGGTTAGCTAGAAAACCGAATGTGAGGTGTAAACGTTATTCGGGTAAGCGTTGAAAACCCGATTGTGTTAGTGGATTTCTCCCCGGAGTGGGGAGCAGAGACGTAGGACGGAAGGTCCGAACTCCGTGATCATTTGCTTGTGTTTGTGTGTGCCTTGGCGTTTATTCTTATTTGTGCTCATTGCTCATTTCGCCTTTGCCTCACTATTTAGTTTGTCCACTATCTAGTTTAGATTATTTACCCTTGTGTTGTTTATACATCATTGCACATACATTGCCTATATCTCTTTGTTAGGATATATCTTGTTGTTCATATTGCTTATCCTAGCTCATATATATTATTGTATTTCATACATGCTAGGATAACTTGTTAATTATTTTTAATTAGCATAAAATCGGATTAGATTAGCATAAGACCCTAATCACCCCCCCCCCCCCCCTCTAGGGTCTAACATCGGGTGGAGTTCGGTGATGACTCTGGCGGTGAAGATTTGACGCAGCAAGAGAGAGAACAAAGATGGAGGAAACAAAGAACAATTTTGGAAGAGGATAATTATGAAAGTATGTAAATTGGTTGGACAAAAATACCCTTCCATCTTTCCAGACAGTTTTAATTATTTTTTCCAAATTAAAAATGCTAAAAAATGTTAATTTTGGAGCACCGAAGCAATGCTCTAAATAAAATCCTGAGGACAAAGAGTCCAAGAAATTCGCTCAAGGGTCATTAACGAAATCTGTCCATTGAGAGCATAGGTCTCCCTCAAATCTGGTGTTCCCAAATGCCATCGCTCCCATGACCATATTTACAACAAAGTGAGGTAACCTTTGAATTCTTTATTTTGCACGAGTGCCACTTTTGTCATCTCCCAATAGAGATAAGCTAACACTACACTCCCCCAGGATAACTCTCCACACTCCTCAAGATCCTCAAGAAGTGGCAATCATCTAACATGCACCGAATCCTTAGTGGAATCCGAAAATAGAACAGTACCAATCATATGGAGTATATACGCACGGGCATAGGTCTTGACGATCTCATCATTTGCATCGATCAATATATTTAGATAATTATTTCGTAACCACTCGAGCTTGATCTTACCACCCTTCATATTAGGAGCTTGACCCAGTAATCATTCACACACTCATATCCAATTGAAACCATCGGTACCCGTAACAGCATCTCCATCCACTTTGAAGCCAAGTAAAATCCTTACATCCTGCAGAGTAATAGTCGACTCTCCTTGACGCATGTGAAATGTATTTGTCTTGGGCCTTCGTCGTTCAATCAATGCCGTCAAGAGAGGCCAATTGAGTCTTACCCATTTTATTTATGAACATTCAAAAAAGCCTGCTTGACGAACATAATATTGGACTTGTGGATCCGTTAAATCCCAACTCGAATGTGGATGAGTATGATCAACAATAGTAATACTCAGGGCATGCATATATTAAACAGTGTAAATGTTCAGTAACAGTAAGAACATTAAAAATTTCAAATGATTGAAAATAATAAAAATATAATTTACCTCCCCAGAGTCTATATTCACGGATCGGTGTCGATCTTGGTCTTATAGGACCTCATATGTCAATGGATCCGTCTTCATACTGTAAATATTTGCACATATAAAGATAGAATGTGTCAATATTATGATGTATAATAAATTAGAATTAGAAGTAAATTACAGAATTTATATATACACATTGACTTAGAAAGGAAGTAGAAGAAAATTATAAATTAAATAAATTGTACCCATTAATTGCTATCTATTTAGATTGGTAGGACAATGAGATCTATTATGGCCCAGTTGTCTACAATATCCATACTTATTTTTCTTTGGAGCTCCTTTCCATCCTTCATCCATCGTACCTTTTATGCGTACTGATCATGGATGTCTGGCTTGTCCCTTATATTCAGAAGGTAACACATGCGGCTCATTATAGGGTGACCAATAACGACTATCTATAATGGGATGGAAACACTTCTTGTATAAATCTCTATAATAGCTTGATTGATACCACTCAGAAGCGTATGTGTAATACGAAGTATTTGCACCCCCAAACTGCTTGGACGTAACCGATATAACATGTGAACATGACAATTTTTACATTTGTGGTATGTTACAAGTGCATGTGCATTGTGTTCCTCATAAATTGACAGTGTAATTATGATCATGTTTGTCTGTAACCTGTCATTCATCTATAGCAAATCTAACAATCTTTGTTGATCTCGCCTGCATGACACGAGACCC